CTCAATAATGGACTCAAAATATTTATCAAGCATGTGATCTGAGGTTACACTGATTACAAAGGAATTAACTCCCTGAGATAAATGCAGATGATACACAGAAAAGAGCACACTTTTGTTCAGGGTAATAAAAAAATGATATGCTCAAATAATGAGAACATTTTTGTCATATGGAGCAGGAGAAAAGAATGTGGCCGATTCTGTATTAAAATACCAGTGGGAAAAGTGCCAGAAAGCCTCTTTGGCCTTTAGAAGAAATGCATTTATTGACTGTTCCATTTGCTTAATAGGCATGAAACTCCATATGTGCTCGATATATACTGCCTGGACATCTAAAGACAGGTGAGAGGAATCTGCAGTATGTTTCTTTATATAGTTTATTAGTCCTTTTTGTTCTTACTGTGAGAGCTTCTGGGACCCTGTTCTGTGCTAAGAAACCATTTTAGAAGATGGGGTACAAATGAGAACAAATGGATGCTTTTCCTCCAAGAGGGTATATAACTAGCTACCAGGCAAGATAAAAGAAGGGTACAGATAAACAGGAATAATAAATGGAGATACTAAGGAAAAAATAAAATGGTTTTGACCTATTTGTAAGACAATATCCACAGATGAGGGCTAGCTAACTGCAACAAAATATTTTGGGGGATCAAAGCAAAGAAGATCCACAAATAACTCTGCAAATGTTTACTGAACACTTTCCATATAACAACACTGAAGATCCTGAAAATTTATCAATTAAAAGGTGAAAGTCATCACCAGTAACTGAGGAAGCCATGGTCAAAACCTGAGGAATGAGTGAAAGACAAATGTCAGGAGCCAGAGAGGGGTTTTACGTATCTGAAAACTGGAAACAAGTAGCTTATGACTAATGAGATGGAGTTAGCATGCAAATTTTAAGAAAAATAAGGAATTGTATTTATATTAACAATGCCAGGCATACAGACATGTTATAAATGCCTGAGAATTAATGTGATTTACTAGACAAGTGAGGTTTAGATAATCATGTTTTCTGTGTGCATGACCACTTCGCTTCCTCAGTGGATGTGATTTATTTCATCAGCCTTTAGACATCTTTAGTATAGAAACCTACCACTGAGTTAGTTGCTCTAGGCTTTATTTAGAGAAAATGAAATAAAACAGACATTTGTAGGCTTTTGTGGCTATAATCTATTTTAGATAAGTAATACAGGATGCAATTATTCACATCCTGGAAGTGTCCATTTTTCTTCATATGCTATCAAGGGAGATGCGCTTGACTAGCTTCAATGACATCAAAGAAGTTAATTTCCCAAATGTAATGAAAATGACCAGCCAAGCATAAAAAGAAGACATTTTCAGGGTGAGGGAGGCTAGTAGATCAACTTTTACTAAACACTGAGTATTTACACGTCTGTCTTAGAGCTTATTTTAACAGTAAACCTAATACTGAATTTTCTGGTTAGGAATAACAAGACATTTCAGTTCAGCGTAACACTAAGAAGAATTCTGAGAACAAAACAGGACACAGTAAACTGAGGAGAGCTCATGATGGACATGGTGGAGTCCCCATCGCTGGAGGTTTTTAAGATGCAATTGAACAGGATGCTAGATAATTTCATCTAGATTCCCTTTCCCATAGAAGGTTGGACCAAATGGTCTTTCTAGGTCCCTTCCAACCTGAGCTAGTGTATGATTTTATGATTCTATGACAATAAACTATAGGAAAAATTTATGAAGCATCATGACAGAATCTCTATTCACAAAAATGTTCATGGAATCATAGAATCATACAATGCCACAGGCAGGGACACCTCCCACTAGACCAGGTTGCTTAAAGTCCCATCCAGCCTGACCCTGAACACTTCCAGGGATAAGGCATCCTCAAATTCTCCGGGAAGTTCCAGTGTCTCACGAACCCCACAGTAAAGAATTTCTTCCTAATATCTATTCTAAACCTACTCTCAGTTTCAAACCATTACCCCTTGTCCTTATCATGACACTCCCTCAAAAAGAGTCCCTCCCCATCTCTCCTATATGCCCCCTTTAGGCACTGGAAGGCTGCTATGCAGTCTCCCCTAAGCCTTCTCTTCTCCAGGCTGAACAACCCCAACTCTCTCAGCCTGTCCTCATAGGAGAGGTACTCTAGCCCTCTGATCATCTTTGTGGCCCTCCTCTAGGACCTCCAACAGGTCCATGTCCTTCTTATGTTGGGGGTCCCAGAGACGGATGCAGACCTGGTAGAGTCTTACCAGATTGGAGCAGAGGGTAAGAATCACCCCCCCTCATCCTGCTGGCCATACTTCTGATGCAACCAGGATGTGGGAGGCTTTCTGGTCTACGAGTGCACATTGCCAGCTCATGTTGAATTTCTCATCCACCAACATCTGCAAGTCCTTCTCCTCAAGCCTGCTCTCAATTAATTCTCCCCACAGCCTGTGTTTGTGCTTGGGATTGCCATGACTCACGTGCAGGACCTTGAACTTCCCCTTGCTGAACTTCATGAGGTTTGCACACACCCACCTCTCAAGCCTGTCCAGGTCCCTCTGGATGGCATCCCTTCCCTCCAGTGTGTCTACTGTGCCACACAGCTTGGTGTTATCCTCAAATTTGCTGATGGTTCACTCAATCTCACTGTACATGTTGCCAACAAAGATTTTAAACAGTACTGTTCCCAGTTCCTTTCCCCTGAGGAACCCACTCATCACTGGTCTTCACTTGGACATTGAACCATTGACTGCAACTCTGAGTGCAGCTACCCAGCAAATTCATTTTCCACTGAGTGGTCCATCCATCGAATCCATGTCTCTCCAGTTTAGAGAGAAGAATGTCATGCAGGACAGTGTCAAATATTTTGCACAAGTCCAGGCAGATGAAGTTAGTTGTTCTTCCCTTATCCACCAACACATTTATTCCCCATGCCATGTGCCTTTGCATAGAGGCATTTAAATTGGGCATCTGATGAAGATAATTTACTGGCTGGAGTGACTACTTTTCTTTTATGCTATACTCCAGATACTCTCTTGCTGACCTGCGACTCTTCTTCAGCTTCTGCACATCTATTGCTGGCATTGGCATCATAGGAATGGGATGGATTAGAGGTTCCCCTCCCCTGGCAACTCTAGTTAAAGGCCCTTAAATCCCCTGTTACAGGATAAGATGTTGTTCGGAACCATTTGCTCGGGTTTATACACAGCTCTTATACTTGACTGAGGAGATGATTCACAAGGTCTCAGTGACATTAGGCAGAGATATGAATGACATGAGCATAATAGGATCTATTCTCTACCTTTGGATCCATGGATTGCTTAATTCAGGACCACCTGAATGCAATCTTTTTCATTAGTAATGGTTATTACCATTGCGCTAGTACCACTTGCTTTCTCATGTAATAATTAGAGGTTCCCACTAAAATTAATTAGTTGTATCTGTCAACAAGTAAAATAAGACAAGTCTCATTTGGTGCCTTTCCAGCGTAAACAATATGAAAATCACACAACCTTAGTACAGTTTGGGTTGTACAGGACCCCTGAAGCTTGTCTGGTCTAACATCCTGCTCAAAGCATTGCCAACTTGAAAGCTAGGTCTTGTCCGGTTTTTAATATCTCCAGTTATTCAAAATCTACAACCTCCTTAGTCAATCTGCCTCAGTGCTTAACAAGCCTCACTGTAAATAGTATTTGTTTATATCTAGTTGCAATTTGTAGTCCTTACCTCATGTCCATGTTGTTAAAAGAGTCCATCTCTTCTTTCCTCTTGCCAGCTTAGTGGCCCTTTGTTGGGCTTACTCCAGTTTGTTAATGATTTTCTTGTACTGGGGACTCCAAAACCAGACACAGTTTCAGAAGTGCTTAAAAAATGCTAATGCAGTGCTGTGCATGGTTAGACCTCACTGTTGCAAGGGAGCACTGTTGACTCATATGCAACTTGTCGTCCAACAAGAAGCCTTAAGTGCTTTTTGTTAGACCTGCTCCCTAGACAATTGGTCTCTGTCAATTGTTTACTTTCAGATCATTTCTGTCAAATCACTTCCCCAGCTTTTTGAGATTCCTCTGAACAGCAGCCTTTAATATCCAACATATTGACTGCTCCCTGCAATTTGGTGTCAACCTCAAACTTGCTGACAGTGTGTTCCTTTCCATATAATTACAAAACAACAAATCACGCCACTACCATTTTGTCTGGTAGAGCCAATAGGTTGGTTTCCCAGGTACTGAAAAATCAAAAGACTTTTTTGAAGGCACACTTCACAAGGAATGAGGGTAGGAATTGAGTGACTACGAGGAAGGAAGACTTGAATTTAAATAGAAAAATAACATCATTTTATCTAAACACATTCTGGTCAGTAACTTCTTGAGACTAAATGTGAACAAAACCAGTCGATGTGCACACAAAAATACGCTTCTGATTTGGCAGTATTTCTACCCGTTCTCATGTTACTCCATGTATCCGGAAATGTCAGATCAAACTACCATATGTGTTTTAATGGTAGTGCACACAATAATATTTTACTCTTTATCCAATAAAAGTATCAATTAGAGAAATATCCTTGTCTCCTTCTTTGACTTTTATACTGTAAGACTGATGTAAAGACACCATAGCTGGAGCAGGAACTTGACCAAATATTTTCTTTACCCCATGGGAAAATCAATAGGCAAGATTCCATCTTGTTTATCACAACGTCAGCCTGGAGCCACCTTAGTAGCCAGCTGAGTTTATTTGCATGGCTAGAGATTAAGATCAATTCTCACTACAACTGGATGCGTCAATCATTAGCAGAGAACATTTGTACCTGGCGTTCACATTGACTGCAAATTTCACATACAAGGAGCAATATATACAAAATTAATTTCAGAGTATTTAATCTCTTCCAATACAAGGGGTAAGAGGAAATAAAAACGGAACACAAGGAAACAATGTCCTTCTTGGAAGGATGTGCACTTGACAAATACTCTGCTCTATCTGGTCACTATTTGAATTGTATAATACCTGTGACGCTGAGTCACCTTGTCCTATCAGGAAACAGAAGAGCTATAAATCACTCGCCAGTGAACAACACTGGTCACTTCCACAACCACCTGTAGAAGGACAGAAGAAACTTCCGATCTTCCTGGAAACAAAAGGTAAGATTCAGATTGATTTGTTGGCTTAAAGTATTGCATTTTTTTTCATATATTAAAATGCATCTTATTGTCAGAAGACTTCTTGAACAATTTAGAGCAGTCACAGAAAGAGGATTTTATTCAGTGAAAAATAAGGCAGTGTAACACAAGCTGAAGAAAAGGGGGAGAAAATTGATGAACAATCAAAAAACAGATGAAAAGCTGTCTGTATGCAAGAAAGCAGTATCTTTCTTTTTTTAGGAGGAGGGATGAGAAAAACATATTCACACAAGTTTGCTAAACTCATACAAACCAGGGATGCTAAAGCACCATCTTTTGGTGGCAGATCCCTGCTCACAGATGGAGTTATAGGAAAGTCAGTAAGACTTGGCACATGTCCTGATTTGTGTTTGATTGAGGGGGAACAGGGGAGGGGGACAGAGAGACTGATTTTAGGACCAGTGCCTAGAAATTAATGCAGAGCAATTAAATTTACATCTCATAAACTATAAGCATTTGGTTGAAATCAGTGGTATTGCCAAAAGTATGTTAATATCTTGGAGCAGGAAACCCACTGGGTCTTAAAAAGCATTCCAATAGCATTTTGAAACTTGTATCATGTATTAAATTACCAATTATATTTAATTGTAAGTTAATTCATAGAAAATGCTGCAGTGAATGAAATCTTTGCACATGTCTTTAAGTTACCTTCTTCACTTTGGTTTGCAAAATAGAAAGCTTCACTGTTTCAATGAAGCGTTATTTTTCCATTTAATCTGGGAATTTGTTCATACTTGGTTTAGGTGCAAAAAGGGTTGTTTTCTATTTGCATATCATCACATTTTTCACTCAAAAGATGTATTTCTGCTTGTGACTTGAGTACAGCTATAAATAACCCCCACCTCTATTTATTTCTTAGTTAGAAATTAAGTGAAAAGAATAATTTTTCATGATATTGAGAGTATAAACTTTTATTGCTGAGCAACTAGGTCATAGACACTGCAAGGTTTTGTAATGGCTCTGGGAAATAATTAGTAGAAAAATTAGTAAGAAAACCTTCTGTGAATGCAAAGCACTTCAGGGAGGCATAGGTGATGTCAAAATTAAACATAAGTGATGTAAGTCAATATTAAGAACAGGAAATCATTGACTTATACTGTTAATTACCAGTATGGTTTTTGCCCAGAACAATTAGATCTCAGGTGTAAGTGCTTGGAAGAAGCCACCCTGTTTTGGAGGCTGAGAGAGATTAATTGTACAGATGTGGCCAGTCTGTCCAGTTTTTTGGCCTCTGAGCTACAGCTGCCCATAGTCACAGTCCACTTCAATGGGCTTTGCTCTTTAGCAGAGCTGGAGTAACTCCCTGGCCTACAGGCCGGGGACTGTGGGTCACCTCCAGTGCAATGTAAGCAAGCTGGTGAGGAAAATGGGCTTTGCTGTACCATTTGGAAAAGGGTAGTTTTTCTTACCCACACGTTCTCTGTGAGCTTGAGCACCTTGTGTTTTATATAAACTGATTGCCTCGAGGTAAAGGGGCTTTGCGGAATATGGAAAGATCAGCAAATCCTATTGGCCATTCCCCAGGAATAAATTAAAACTAAAACCAGCAGCCCCTCAAAAATCAAATAAGAAGTTAAGCTAATAATATACCTCTGTGGCAACACGCCCATAAATTCCCTTGCAGTGGGAGGCTGGGAAAAATGCCAAAATAAGTAAATTCCATTCTAGTCACCTGCTTGCCTGCCCAAGGTAGCTAAGCAGAAACAAGCTGAATGTAACTCCTATGACTGATTGCAGACACCTGAACTTTGAAGTGACCTACATTACCTCCTTGGTCACTGTAGTTTCATGCCATGGTGCTTTGAACCTCCTAAGCAAGTCAGAGACTTGAAGTCCAGGGTCTGGTGGTTACTTCTTCAACAGGAGAAGGCTCTTGTTTCTGTTGCCATTCTACACTACCTGTAATATAATCAAGAGCTGTCTTTAAAAAAAAATCAAAACAAATAAGAAGCTTTCTGAAACAAGTCTTTGGCAGGAAGCCAGTGCTGGTCCATTTCTGGTCCAGACAGTTCTTCCCAGCTCACAAAGTAAGGGACACCTGAACATAGAGGTCTGGACATGGGCTGAGTGTTTAATCCCCCTTTCAACCAATGCATCCAGTCATAGCAGGCAAAGGGGAGCAGCAGAAGTTTCAGACTTACAGACACAGAAACAAGCTAAAGGCAGCATCCCATCCCAGCTGTCCCACAGTGTGGCAGTGAAAAGAAGGTTTCCTACAGGAAGGGAAATACATGTGTCCTCCTATACTGTGAATTCAGGTGTTCAGCCAGGATTACAGCAGGAAGTACGAAGGCAGTTGACGCATAGAAATTTGGAAATGTAGAGGATGAATGAGTTTGTTTTAACTTCTGAAAATGGGAGGAGGAGAGAAGGAGGAGAGAAAGAAAACATTACTTTGCTAATTGAGAAAAAGCCAGGAAGTACACAAAAGAAAGATGCACTGTGTATTCATGAGAAACGAGAACTCTGTGAAAAACAAATTAAATCCTCGTTCTCCCCTTTTCAGAGATGATTCTGTCAGTGGTGTTCCTGTGTCTTGCAGCTGTGCTGTCTCCATCCACTGGAGTGGTAAGATCCATGCTTTGTACTTGGAAAATCTGGGTGGGACCCCAGGGGCTGACGGTCTGACTGAACATGGCTTTTCCTGTGCACACTGATGAGACATGGGAAGAGTCTGATTAGAGATATAGAATCTGGAAAGCGTTTATCCTTGACATCTATTTGGTTTCAAAGCAGTAGATTGGTTCCACACTTGCACATTAAACCATCTATAAAGTCAGTGTTACTTACGAGTTGGTTCATATTTTCTATTTGTTCATACATTCATAAAAATATGTTCATAAAAATATATTCATATTTTCTTCTATATTTTCTACAAGATGTGATACACAGATCCTGCAATATGGATCTTCTGAAGATCCATCCCTCTTCCTATTAATTCCCCATAGTTTCTCCTTTTCTAATCCTAGAGGTCCTGACATAACTGCTTGTCCCTCTCAACATGTATCACTTTTTTATCCCTCAGACAGCCAAACGAACAGAAGCAACACACACTTAGACTGGTTCCTCCCAACCCATCGTTAGTGTGAAGTTTGAGTTTTATAACTTCTGTTTCAGAAACCCTCATGTGACTGAAGGTTTCACTACTTTTCCCCCTAATTTTTCAATTTCTGCTCTCTGTGCTGCAGTCTAGTGAGAATGGTTGTAAAAGGGAGGCTGAGTTCTTCACATGGGTATTTTTTGATTAGAAAATACATGAAACTATAAGAAATGTTATCAGTTTTGGTAGGAGTAGAAGAAAAAGTAAGGCATGAAAAACATAGGCACACCTTTTTGTTCAGGGGGATGTCCTGATAAACAAGAGGTCTGTGACTATCCTGTGATTAAACCACAGGCTCCTTCAATAAAAAAAAACATTGATAGCCATGTTTAAATTAATGAAGAAGGGGAACTCATCATAAGCATATCCATATCTTCAGCTGACTTTTAGATCCTGTTTCCTCCAAACCTTATGAAGGAAGCTATAATAAAAGTAAAATAAGTCTTATTCAGTTGCGTAAATTTAAGAATGAACAGGTACAAGAGGCATTACAGGATATCTCAGCCATCCACAAAGGGTTGGCAGATATGATGCAGGAATGAGTGTAATTACTGCTAAGCTGTGGAAATGCTGGAAGCACCCTTAGAGACACTTAGGAGACAAAGTGTACCACAGTACCTCCTCCGTCACAAGGATCATTTCTCTGGTTAATATTAGTATTTTGATATTTTAAGATTTCCTAGAAAAGATTCAGGATTTAGTTACATTCAAATATAAAAGGAATATAACATGTTCTTTCAATTTAGGAACCCGCAAGTTTCGATGCTCTGTCAACTAGCAGAGCAGATCAGCAAAAGGCAATTGTTGACAAACATAATAGCCTCAGGAGAGGAGTAAACCCAACTGCCAGCAACATGATGAAGATGGTAAGTTACGTGCTGTAAATCTGTTTTTCATGGGTAATGCACTCTATGAGAGATACAGGACTATCTGCAAGGTCACACTGTTTTATTTAGCCACAAATTCACTCTCCAGACCTTTCATAAAGACTGAACATGGCCAGCACCAAGAGAAATGTAAAGTGTGGCAGGTGGGAAAAAATGTCTGGAAAATTTTGTGCTGTATGAACAATAATGTCTCTTTCTTTTGAAGGAAAAGAAAATGGAGGAACTATGGCATTTTTAATTTCTTTCTGGTGCATTCTTCATTAGTCTTTACAGTTTCTATTCTCCTGGGTACATAGTGACTTTATTCTTACCCCCATACACTCCCCAAAAGGGGAAGAAAAGCATTTTGAATATGATTTTTTCAGATTTGAAGTGTAATTTTCAAATGGTATTCCTTCATGAGGGGTTATTAATTGGTAAGTGTCTGAATGGCTAATATTTTCTTCTTTCATTAAGGAATGGAGTCCTGCAGCTGCAAAGAATGCCCAAAAATGGGCTGATAAATGTACTTTAAGTCACAGTCCTGTTGACAAGAGGACAACCAGTAAGTGAAGCATGAATGTTAACTGAATAATGTCATACAATGTCAAACTGATGTGACCAGTTTTTTTGGTTTTTTTGGCTGTTTCATTTTTTGGGTTTCTTTTATTTGAGATGCCGTATATATTCAATTTAATTTTGTTGGTGCAAGTTAAAAATTTTAGGTATAAATCTGTCCAGTAAGTGAGAAAAGTTCAAATCCATTCTCATCTCAGTTGAATCAGTTTTGCATAGGTATATCCTGTTTTCTGGGAAATCATAGTGAGAAAACATATTCTCTCAAAATATCCATCAGAAAGAAGATTATCTAGATTTACTGCAGAAACCAACCTGCGTGTGATGGATGAAACTGTCTGGGAAGCCCAGTTTACTGCAGAAACCAAACTGCGTGTGATGGATGAAACTGTCTGGGAAGGAGGGGGCAAAAGGTGAAGGTTCAAAACCAGCTGGTGGTCCTAAGCATAATTTCTAAAACTAATAGTTTTTCAGTCTCTGGCAATGTGCAACCCATAACTATCTTGGAGGCTCGTATAAATACTTCAGAAATTGGATATTGAAGTTACAGCTATACTGTGTTCACAATAGCTGTGATCAGAGCCCGATGTGGTGTTGACTGACTGCTGTCTATACTCTGTGTAAGACGTGGACTGTCCTTCAGTCCTCATACTTTTTGCCTAAAAACCAAATCCTCTGGTTCTAGCTAAGGTGAATCCCAGATGAGAACTAATGTATGTGCAGTAGGGTTGGACCTGAATAAAAACAGTAGGTGAAGACAGTGTAGACACCTTCTTGTGTGCCAGGAGTAAGCTTTGGATTATTGGGATTTTCCCACGATTACTGAGCTGTGACCTGACTAATGACTAGGATGCTGACTTTCAAATAGCAGAATGACAGTCATGAATCTGTGGTGCACATGTGCAGGCGTATCTGCAGACATGCAGAAGGTCTGTCAACAACCAAACTACTAGCCAAACAGGCTGGCCACGCTGCAAACTGCTCAAGTGACAACTTCAGTATTGACAAAGGGTGATGTCACTGAACTGGAAAAAAAACCCAACACTTTTCGGTTCCACCTGGGATGAGAACTTCCATGGAAATCGTACCACCTTTTGCTGCCTTTTTTTCGCATGTATCTTCTATGCATTTCTCAGTACCTTTCTCTTTTCAGCTGTACCATGTGGTGAAAACCTCTTCATGTCAACTGCCCCTTTCCCATGGTCAGATGCTATTCAGGCCTGGTACGATGAGGAGAAAGATTTCAAATATGGAGTTGGAGCAAAAACACCAGGCGCTGTGATTGGCCATTACACTCAGGTAGATGCAACTTTTCTATATTTCAGACTGGATAGATAAATATCTATATGCTAGTTAAGCAACATTTACCTTCTCGTTATATTTAAAGAGAATAAACACAATGGAGGCAGGAGAGTTATTCTGACAAAACAAGATGAAAACTTTCAAAGTAACAGAATCAAAATGAAAATAATAGGCTAAGTGTCTTTACAGACTAAAGATACTGGTATTCAAAACTTCAGGAAGAAACAAAGGGAAGAAGCTTATTTGTTTGTATAACATCTAAAAATTGCTCAGACACTGCAAGAATAGGGTTATTAAAGTATCAGGAAGGAAATATAAATAGGTTTGTTACAGAATTCCATTGACTCAGAGAGTGTCTAGTTGGACAATGGCTTATACTAACCTCCTCTGTTCACCTGCATGAACCACAGCAAAAAAATTTTACATTCTAATTCCTACATCTTCTTCAACAGTTTTAACTGAATTAAAACATATATAATTGAGACAGCTTAAATCATTATATCCTAAATGTTCTTTGATTCAGGGATGAAAGCAAAGAAATTAATTGAATTAAGATATATATAATTGAGACAGCTTAAATCATATGTTTTATATATGTGTATGATAAATTATCATTATGTCCTAAATGTTTTTTGATTCAGGGATGAAAGCAAAGAAATTAAAAAGTTTTTCCAGCAAAGTGGCAATTCTATTTTATTATAAAGGTTTAATAGAGTGGCTTAATTTGTTTGCAAATGTTTCTTTAATGCATATTGTACTTAAATGATTTTCATATGTATATTTTTCATTCTCTCATGATTTTATTCTTCTATCTACAGGTGGTTTGGTACAATTCTTATCAAATTGGATGTGCTATCGCTTTCTGTCCCAACAGTAAATACAAGTATTTTCAAGTCTGCCACTACTGCCCCGCGTACGTATTAATTCTGATTCTGGAACTTCTTATTATGTCATCAAAATTAGTCAGGAGATGGTGAAATTTGTAACAGGGCACAGCACCCATAGATGAGGAACAGGTTTGGAGAGTGTATAAGGAATACGAAAAGATAGAAACATATTCATTAAAAGAATTATCAAACAAAAAAAAGCATAAAACACATAAAAGTGACACTTATTTTCAGATTAAATTTCATTTGCCTAAAAATCCTAATTTTCATAATAATAAATCACAAGTAAGTATTTTCCACTTTCTACTTGAAATCTTGGTTCAGGAAGGCAAATCAATAGGTACACTATAGTGAAAAGTATAGTTAATACCAGAAACTTTAGTGGGAATTTTAAGGCAGAGTGATTATTTCATAAACTGCCTAAAATTAATTTTCACATTCACATTGTAATATATTGTGGTGGGTTGACCCTGTCTGGCCACCAGTTGCCCACTGAGCCACTCTGTTACCACCACCCCCCTCAACAGGACAAAGTGAGAGAAAATGCAACAAAAAGTTTGTGAGTCAAGATAAGGACAGGGAGATCACTCAGCAATTTGGCTTAGTGGTGGGTACAAATTGGCTTTGTCTGAAACAGGGACAGCTTCTCGTGTCTTCTCACAGAAGCCACCCCTGCAAATTCTCCTCCCCCCCCCTCCCCAAACCTTTCTAGATAAACGCCAACGCATAAATAAAAATTGTTTGACATATAACTAAAGACTGAGTGCAAATTAATAAAGTTTTATTTTCAGATATGGTACAGTGACTTTATAGCTCATGTTGGTAATGTTGATGTTTCAGGGGGAATCTCAGAAGTTCAATTCCGAAGCCCTACAAAAAAGGAGCTCCCTGTGGTGATTGCCCTAATGCTTGTGATAACGGATTATGCAGTAAGTTTTAAGCATTTTAATTGTCACTTGCATAAAGTTGATGCTTTAAAAAAATCCCAATTAATTTATGCAAATTGAAAGTTTTTGAAATTATTTCTTCAAGTACCAGGCCAGGAAAAAATCTGAGTTCTGAGAATTTTAACAGAAGATAAAAACTTATGGGCTAAGTCTCATAATGCAAGACTTGATTTCAGTCTTCTGTTTCTGAATTGAGCTAATTCTTGTCACGGGCTGTAGTGTAAAGGAAGAAAGCTTCTAAACACCTTGCGAATTCTGTGAGAAATCTCCTTGAAAGAGCTAAGAATTTTGTATGTGTGGTCAAAGGTTTTGGATGCTGCTGTGGAGTAAATGGCAACAAAGGGTAAAAAAATAAAGAGAAAAGAAATATTGGTGAAAAAAAGTATTCTAAAAAGAAATGCTGCACATTCTCTTTTCCCATTTATGATTAATTTTGTGTTTCAATTAATTTTCAGCCAAGCTTTGAAAACCTGAAGGTGTTTATTCCAACTGCCATGGCAAAGTGTACTGAATGTATTCATCACTTCATCAAGTTCCCTGTCCTGCTTCCTGCTAATGCAAAACTGAAAGAAAATAACAAGCTCAACTTTTTCCTTCCTGGACATCCATCTCTTTAGTGATTTCTTCCACAAAAACAGATTCCATCCTGCCTTACCAACAATGCAGAAGGACTAACTTCACTCTGGTGACTCACACTAAGAAAAGCTGTAGAAGGATGTACATATTCTATTCATATAATGGTCTAGAACATAGTGGAGGCCATACTCAAAATTTAGCATTTGGGTACCGGATATATTTAATGGTTAACTTCTCATATCTTTCTTTTCCCAAAGTGTCATCTAAGGAGCATTGTTTAAAGTTCTGTGGTTCCATATGTTGTTAGAATATATAGATCTCCTTGGTCATGCAACTAATCTTAACTTGACCAACATTTTGAACTATTGTACTTTTAAGAGGACCAGAAGATCAACAAGGTTACCTGAACTACGTAGTTCTTAAAAGTAATTGGGAAAGTAGTGTATTTTCCACTAGAATTAGTCTGCTTTAGAGTCTGTATCTTTTGCTGACATACATTCTACAGTAAAATGTTTAGTTGTATTTAAAAGTTTAAAAGAAAAAAAGTGTATTTAATTTAAATTAATGATCTTTCTTATAGTATAAGATTGCACTTACCCATATAAATATGGGTAACCACACCTGCCCTCTAATGGAAAAGAACTGTCTGAGAAAAAGGCTTAACTCACAAAAACAGATAGTCAAGGGGAAAGGTCCCTCCATAGGGAAACTTTGGTTTTAGTAAGAAGTCAGGGTGTCTTCCAAAATTATTTCTTTAACATATGATTTTGCTGTATCAATCATTAAATTACTCATTCTTCATTGACCAATTCATTGTAATGTTCCTTCTTTCTTATTACTGTGAAATACAGTTCACTTCCACCAACTTTGTGACTTTATCAGCATTAGGGTCTGAAGGGAGCCTGATTCTTCAGCAGTATAAGCAGAAACAGTTCATGTGAGAAACAAGATTTCCTAGGCAAAAACAGAAGTCGGGAAAACAGCTTTCCTTGAGGCTCCTTTCAGAGATGAAGATTTCCTAGGCAAAAACAGAAGTCAGGCAAACAGCTTTCCTTGAGGCTCCTTTCAGAGAGAATGACCATTAATGTAAATAAAATGCAGTACTCACTTCTATGACCTTTGGGAGTAAAGTGTTGTACTGTGCAATCAAGAGTCAGACGAAATATTATTTTAGTCTCACCTTACAATGGTTTCACATTTCAGTCTTCTTCTAGTAAGGAAGCTGCTGTCATAATTGAGATTCCAAGTCCCAGAGTCTTTGGCACAGAATAATTTCAGCACACACTTCTGACTCATTTATTTCAGTGGCAATTTCAACACAAATTTCTGACTCAATCATTTCTTCTAGGATGAAAGATGAGCATTAAGCCAAAAGCCTGGTTTCACAATTCAAGTGCTTATTGTTTGGGTTGTTGGTTTGCTTTTTCCCGTTCAATGCCACCACCTTTTCCTTCCCTGGTATACTACCCTCTCATTTGGGTACTTCTCTACTAGTAAGTTAAACAATGCCAGGACATAGATGTGAGCTCTGGAACACGACTTACTGCACTCTTAAATAATAAGCAGAGGTACAATTAGGAATGATGATAATGCAATAGCTAATCCAGTGTTGTTATCAGTGAGGAAATGGGTAGATCCATTACCACCAACTCCTTAAAAAATCCATTTATTATGAGTAGCAGGTCTAGAAATCTATTCCTTTTCATCGTAACCCATAATATGAGAACTGGTTTCTCAGTCACTCACAAGATGAAAGCAGTTGTGTAATGAGGTGAAAATCAGCCCTCATACAGCTCACCCATGAGGACCCAGGTCAATAAGCTCAATTTAAATATCTAGAAGGTAATAGAGCAAGTTGTTTAGCAGCCATTTTGTAATCAACAGGGTATAAAATATCAGCATGGATTTGTCAGAAGCTGATCTTGCCAAACCAAACTTTCTTCTTCAATGAGTAATTCAGACAAGTGGATGTCACTTTGGCTTTGGTAGCACGTTTGACAAAGCAGCAAAAGACATTTGCAGTCCAGGGAGATGTGGTTCAGGTGAAAGTACTAATACACGCGTGCCCATAACACGCTGTTGGACACACACATCCATGATGCCTGGGCAGGGGGCACAGATGGAGGCCTCTGGCAATGCAGGTGGACATTGCACAGGGAGGCAGTACCCACATCCAGAGCTAATAGTACAGTTCTCACGTGTGATATCCTCTACCTTCCCCAGCCACAAGCCACAATCAGGTGAAGACAGCTTTTGTTGTCTTTGACATGGTATGGAAATGGTACAGAAAACCTTCACTGAATGCTCTTATTGGCTAAAGAAGAGTCAGATCCACATTTCCATTTGCCATAAGCACATTCAGGGCACTTTCTTGGACAAAAACATGTTCTAGGTTCCCAGATTACTTCCAATGAACATTAAGAGCTCATTCTATTCTAACACAAGAGGACAAGAGGAAATGACCTCAAGTTGTGCCAGGGGAAGTTTACATTAGATATTAGAAAAAACAATTTACACTGAAAGAGTTATCAAACATTGGAAGAGGCTGCCCAGGGAAGTGGTGGAATCATCATCCCTGGAGGCATTGAAAAGACGGGTAGATATAGTGCTTAGTGATATGGTTTAGTGGTGGTTTTGTCAGTGTCAGCTGATGGTTGGACTCAATGATCTGAAAGGCCCCTTCGGACCTAGACAATTCTATTATTCTATGATTCTAAGAAATATGCCAGAATTTTAATCCAGTTCAGTTTAGTATAAAATAAATAACTAGTACTTAAGAAAGACAAGATCTGGAGAAGTAATAGCAATCAATAGATCGATGATGGTATAAACAGCCCTTGGAGCAGGAAAACCAAGCTGTTCTGCGCTGTGCTACAGAGACATTAAACTGCTTCTGTTTGCTTCAAGGTATTTTATAGTCTTTTTTTCTCCAAAGGAACATACCTTTGATGGGTGAAGTACAGAATGTTTTTCTCACCTGTCCCAAATAACATTTAACTTAGAACTCAATGTACCTTCTTCATAAACATTGGCTTTATTGCAGACTGGCCTTGTATCAGGTCTCCTGTTCCCCTGACACATTCTCTCGCTACAAAGAAAATTGGTAAAAAGTAGACCTCCACCAACACCTTTTTTTCATTTAAACATATATTGGAAGGGAGATGGCTATGACAGTTGCTTTATGCAGGGTCCAGCCGTTGTTTTGTCTTGGGCATGAGAAAGGTTTAGTGACTGGGTCTGGTACCAAATGGTCATGTTACAACCAGGTAGTGCTGGCAAAAGACTTAAAAGCTATTGTAACATATACTTCATAATGTACAGCAAGGTGGTGTGCCTTGTCCCCAGTAGCTCCCTGTGGTCACTGGGATCCCCACATCAGATCATCCTAGCCCATCCTGTTCTTGGGTTGTTTCACCTTTCAAGGTGAAACCCTTGAAATCCTTCCTACCTTTACCAAGGACGCAGAGCGGAAAAGAAGCTGCCATGGGAGGGCCCATGGAAAGGGATCATTTCCCATTTCTCTTTCTCACCTACTTCTGATGGAGTTCCCTGTAGACAGCTGGCTGCTCTAGGATGGTGTTTGAATTATGTCCCATATTATGGCCCCTGATTCACTGTAGAAAAGTACACAGTTTAGAGTAAAGTAGAGTAGAGTAGAGTAGAGTAGAACAGAATAGAACAGAATAGAATAGAGTAGAATAGAATAGAATAGAAATCAGTTGGAAGTGACCTACAATGATCACCTAGTCCAACTGCCTGACCACAGAGTACTTTAGAACTAGTTCCTTTCTCAACTGCAACAATATTCTCACTTGTGCACTGATGTAACAGGAACAGCAAAACTTTATCATATGCCCAATTCAGCTAAGGCAGTATCCTGTCTCTCACCATTACAAAAATAATGTCTTTTAATGGCAGGTAGAAAATTCCAGTGGCAGGTAGAACTGAGTTTGCTCTTTCCCCAGATTTGATATCCAACAGTCATGACATCCTCTTAGTGCTGAAACAGAAACTTTAATGCTATTTTGAAAATTTGTCATCATTAGTTATGAAACTTCTGGATATTCCTAGAACGTATGCAGCCTTCTGAAAGCTGCAAGACGGATGTATTTTACACCTTTCTCATACTGCAGTCCTTGATTCACTTATTTTTTCAGAATTTGAAGAACTGTTCTTGAAACCTGCAAAGCAAAAGCACGCAATACGCTTTTAAATGCGTGCCTAGAGCCTTGACTGATTTGACACTTTAAAGTGTTACAACGATGTTTCAAGGGTGAGGATGGAAAAATGGTGAAGTCTTGCTATGTGTGGTGGGTTTGAAAAATCCCTCCTGAAACTGTGGATTGCTTCTCACTTAGACTCTCTCCTGGCTACACGATGCAACAACTCTGTTCCAAAATTCAACAAAAAGAAATTGTATGTGCTTTAAAGTAACATTTGTTCTCTGTGAAAGGGAGTTGCATGAAGCAAAGTGTGTACCCATCTGAAGAAAATAACGACAAGAAGGATCTCTGATTTTTAAATTACACCCTCATCACAGAGCTAACTTTCCTTAAGCCAATGCTTTGCACTTGTTGGCATGTGGCAGGACAGCAGTGTTTAACAATGCATAGCTACATACAATAGCTTTATAAGAGAAGTAAATCTTCAGTAAATGGCAATGCATTCCAAAGACTGGTGAGACCTATTCTAATTTATAAATTGTATATCATGTAACCAACAGCAAGAGAAAAATAACCCCATTTTGTGTCTTTTCAAGACTATTTTCACATAAGCTTTTTCCCCCCACTTCATTTTGCTTATACCTTTTCATTCATTTACAAATAACATCCAAGGACCATACTCCAAAGCTTTTTAAAAGACAGAGCAAGTTAGACTGTTTTCACATGAATAAGCTTTTTCCCCCCCCACTTCATTTTGCTTATACCTTTTTATTCATTTACAAATAACATCCAAGGACCAAACTCCAAAGCTTTTTAAAAGACAGAGCAAGTGACCAGACAATCACATGGGTTTAATATAAGGAATATAAGCAAGCATGACAAACCAAGAGATCTCATAAATAAATATAAAATGTTTTAAACTGAGTTTTGATAATGTAATGTCTTCAGTGACTTTCTTTCCATAGTTTCTTGAGATTTGAAGAAGGAACTGTATTTTTTTTTTTAATCTGCCTGACAGCTTTCAGCAAAGCACTGCCTGGCATGTATTACAAAGGCAAAAATGTATTTGATGCAAGAAGCATCATCATTAGATAATAGACTCGAAAAATACTAATGTTTTGAAATATGCTAATGAAATTTAACATCCTGAACACTATTTTTAATGTATCAGCTTTTTTTTCCCCCTTTTTCAGACTAAAAATAAGTTATTAACATCTAAGGAAGCCAAGAAATGTAGGGTCTGCTGTTGCTACCAACATCCTGCTATGAAGGCGTATGTGAATGCGTTGATCAAAATATGGAAAATTCCATAGTATTCAAATACAGTCTTGAAGAAAGTCCCAAGCTTTGAATGGAAGGACAGCTTGATTTTTTGAAATGCATGTCACAAGTAGTTGGAATTGCATGGTAGATAAAATTTTCCATTCCTCAGCTGAACCTAATTGGTTGATAACTATAATGAGAGAGAGGCCAGAGTGAGCTTACAAAGATTGGGAGTGTATTACCATAATGAAGTTACATTTATACTTTTCACACTTTTGATTTTGATTGCTACATTAAACAAATGCATTGATTTTTTTAGTGCATTTTTTCCCACATTTTTGCAGGAGCGTTTTCTCTCACATAATTATGTAAACACAGAAATA